GCATATAATCCCCATGTAAAGCCTTTTGGTTGAGTTAAATTCCATTTCTCTCCATACCACTCCAGCAGGTCAACTGCAACAGCACATGTGCCAAAGAAATTAGTGGTTTTACTTACGTTCCCATTTTAAACGGGCACCTACTTGCAATTAAATCTCTGCAACAAAAAAGTTCACCTCAGGCCATTCTTGCATTGTAATAGAGGCCTTGCTTAGTCTACCTGTCTCTGTGGTCTTGCCCCAGCTATAATAGCATACCTCCAAAGAAGCTGGACGTGCCCCAAACACCAGCAAACCGGACCTGCTGCCAACTATGCTTGTCACCCCGAGCAGGAAGCTCAACCTAACGTGTATACGTTTGTAGGGGTTGTGTGTGTGTGTGTGTGAGTGTGTGTGTGTGCGCGCGCGCGCGTTGCGTTGGGGAGAATGGGGACGCGGATTACAGGAGAAAGGTGGTTGAACACTTTCAACTTTGTAACCAAGTTTTTTAAATAAGGAAAGCAAAACAAACCAGCTCTCCCCCTCCCTCCCTTACCTCTACCTTTTCCAAGCACGGGAACCTCCCACCCTCCTGGAGCGCACCTTCAGAGTTTAAGGTCTCCGGGCCACCGAAGCTTCGGCTAGCTCTGAATACTTAGACCTCCCCGCCCTCCCGGGGGAGACCATAGGACGCCCAAGAGAATCGGGCCCACCCCGCGGCGCCCCGAGACCCTACCCTGCCGGTCCACTCTCCTCCGGCCAGCCCAAAGCTGCTATTCCGACCCCTCCGAGGGAAAGGGGGGTCACCTGAGGCCGCTGAGGTAGTCAGTGGGAAGTCCCCTGAGCCCCGCGAGCCACCGCGCTCCCTACCCCCGCGCGATCCCGTGGAAGGGTCCCCGCACCCCAGCCCACGAGGGCGCCCGCCATCCCCGCATGGAGGAGGGGCTGAACCGCCGTGCCTTCTCTCGTCTTAGCATTACCTTGCAGCGCGCAGCGGGCTTTGTGCTTCCCTCCTCCTTCACCGCGGCCGCTGGGGCTGCAGCGGCCGCCCGATCAGCCGCCGCCGCTTCTTAAGCGCCGCACCTCTCCAGAGGGGAGGGCAAAAGAAGGGGAGGGGGCGTGAGGAGGGAGGGACCTGGGCGCCAAGCCCCGGGTAGCAGGAAGAAGCGACACT